GTATTTCCTCATTATGTGTTCGATGGAGTTGCGAAAACTTTTTTAATTTAAATTATTATTTTTCTAAGATAGAGAATGGGTAGACGAATAAATTATGTTGCTTTCTACTATTCTTCCAACCTTGGATGCTTTTATTAGCAAAGAACACAACGAAAAATTTTCTGAAAGTGATTTTTCAACGAAAATTATTGCGAAAAACTACAAAAACAAAAGTTCGAACAGAAACTACAGAAAAGTAAAAAACTCAACGAGAAAACCAATTTTATTCAAAAGACTGATTAACATGAATAGAAAACTAAAAATGATGAAATATTTCGGTCATTATGAGCACAGAATCATATTTTTGGGATTTTTACTTTGCATTGGATTGTACTCAGCAAAGATTGGAGCCTCTTCGATTGGACACATAGATACGGACTTTAGTATACTAAAAAACGTCCTAGAAGCCAGCCAAACCTCTGATTGCAAGAAAAACTTTAACCCGGAAGCCATTGAAAGGTCACGTCGTATACGAAGAGAAATTGCTTCCTCAGGTAAAGTATTTACTACTCGGCCCAGATTGTAGATATGGATTGGTCTGCTAATTTAGGGTCTTTTTGGTTAAGCGTTGCAGGCGAATATTCGTTGCTATCAGAAAACGCAATTACAATTTTATTGACTTTAGCAACGATCTACATGTGTGATGCAACATTTTCAACTCTTACCAATATGATGACCAAATACAGGTCGAAATATGCCGTACAGTCGGATCTACGATTTTGTTTGTCACAAATTGCTCCAAGAATTGATAAATTGTGCAGTGAAAAGCAACCTCAAGCATCACATAAAAAACGTTTGTGTTGTTAGAATGTGGATCCATCAAAACTAAGCGTCTGAGCCGATTCGAATAATTTACTATTCGATTTGAATTAAATATTCGATTGGAAGTGCTCAGCCCTAATAGTTAGTCCATTCCTGGAACCTCCAAGTTAATGCAAATTAAAATTAGTCTTGATAACACAGAGTATCTTTTGTTCAGAACCGAAGTCAGACGCTCCACTAGGGATGCCATCATGTCTAGATCAGACGGACCCAACGTATTATGTGTCAAAGTATCACAGAAAAGGTATCGTGTGTTTATTGAACCCTTAGGATTCTGTTTATGACTGCAGTTCAAATGGTTTCTGGCGAGAGGTAGCGTTGAATTGATAGCTTTTCAATTCAGCTGTTTACACGAATGTTTCTAAAAGTAAGGCCGGAATTGTGGACTTAAAGATGAAATAGTTGTCACAAGCGCGGGGGAAGACATACAGTTTTATCCCCGTGACAGTTAAATATGATACTGATTGATACCATGATTAAACATAAAAAGAGTTAAGGAACGTATGAATATATTTTTTTTAAATATTCTACTCAATTCTTTATTTATTGTCTTAAAACAAAACATTTCCTTCTTTTAACAAAAAATTTCGTTTTATTAAAAGTATGGAATTCAACGGTGTGCTTCGAGTAAATTCCGAATAGATTCAAAATATTCTGAAACCTATTTATTCTGAAGAAATTAGCGTAACAACTTAGTGACGTCACGTCAGCATGACGTCATCAAACATGACATCGTAACATTGCAGCTAATGCGGTTTCCAGAATGCTATAATAGTTTTGTTTCAAGATATTATTTTCACGTTATTGACGTCATCACATATGGCATCATCATATTAAACGTTGTTTGTCAAATTGACCCTTATTTTCAGTCTGCAAAAGCCCACAAGTGAACACTCGTGTTACCAAAGTATTTGGAACGAAACACCACCGAAATCCGGAATGGTCTAAAATCTATTTTTGAAATGTCAATTGACGTCATCAAATATAACGTCCATGATAACCATAATATTCTTGTAATCCAAATTTTCTTCTTGGCAGTCTGCAAAGCAACAGTGACACTTCGTTCCCCTACCAAGTATTTTCGAAAGAAACGCAACCGAAACCGAAGGTTCAAAGATTGGTTTCGAAAAATGGCGTATCACGGGGAATGGAAACGAAGGCTTACTTGCTCTGGAAATCGCTTGAAAGACGAAGAACATATTGAAATGCTAAAAGAGAAAAAAGTAAGAACTTTGTCTTTTTGGAAATAGGTTTTTATAGCATTTGACCTGATTGTCAAGTGTCTACCGCAAAGATTCATTCTAGCTACAACTTCAAAAAACATTCTTGAAAATTTTCTTCGTTTATTCGCTCAGAACGAGTCTCCGAGGTAGACACTGATAGCGCGGAGTTTTACTAGAATAGAGTATCAAACGTTTGCTTTGGTGTTGCTAATTAACATTGGTTATACTTTAGATGAACACTTTTTATGTCATTTTTCAGGATTTATTCAATTCTTACAAAGTTCTGTGATTCTTGCTATGAATAATTTTCTACGGTTTCAGTTTTGAGATGAGTCCTCTTTCTTGTGTATGATTTTGCATAATGCGTCCCCATAATGCCATATAGTTTCATTAGCTCCTGGCATTTTAGTGGTTCTCTATAATTTTACTCAGATATGACTCTTCTTTATTTATTAGTGGATGCGCATTTAATCAACAAATTTTTCTATAAAAATATCTTATGCAGCTTAATGCACCATAATTCTATGCAGTTTTAGTAGCATTTGACACTTCAGTATTCGTCCTCCACTCGGGTATGAGTCACCGTTAGTACTGAGTGAGTACACGTAATCACCCACTATTGTTTCATGTAGTTTCAGTACCTCTTGACATTCCTGTGGTCTCCATCACCGCCTATGGACTGAGTCCCATTTTCCCAAGTGTGGTTTCACATATTACACCACGATAATGCTATATAGTTTTAGTAACTTTGTTCATAGATGAGTCTCCATTTTCTTGTGTGTGATTGCACGCACATAGCTCTTGGCTTTTCAGTAGTCACTCATGAATTTTCTCACATATGAGTTCCATTTTCTTGGGTGCGATTGCACATAATTCTATTTAGTTTCAGTAGCACATGAAACCTCAGCGCTCGCCCGTAACTTTGTTTTCATATGAGTCCTTTTTCTGGCGTGTGGTTCCTCACAATGCACCACAAGGGTTCCATATATACATAGTGTTGAAAAAATGACGCAAAATTAACAGAAGTTAAGATGAAATGGTAATTAAAACATTTAACGCCAGACATCTTTCAACAATATTAAATTACAGTAAAATAGCATTTGAACATTTCACGACTGACGCTATTCAACAGTTACTTTTTTAACGTTGCCACATAACGAAAAATTTACCTTAATTTGGCGTAACTTTTTTAACACCCGCAGCTCTTGACTTTCCTGTAGTCGACATTAAATTTTTTCAAAGTCTTCTTTACTTCTAAGTAAAAATATGTAACCTTGCTTCAAGAAAATTTTCATGAAACTAAGTCTTTAGCAATAATACTTTACACAATTTCTAACAGCGACAGAAAATGGAGAAAGAAGTCGAAGAAAGCATGAAGACTGAGGCGATTGAAGAGAATCCGCAGAATGAAACAGAACCAATTAAGGTAATGCTGAAGGCGTTTCATATTTTAATGACTTTTTGATATAAGGGTATGTATGTACGTAGATTTAAGTGAGTGGTGCCGTGGTCTATGCTGTTCATTTGGTTTCTCAGAAAGTATTGTTATGTAATAATTTATTGGGGTCACATGTTGCACCAAATCAATAAATTTTTCCGATATTACATATTCACCAGATAAATCTCATGTGAAGCGATAATAATATTACATATTCTTATGACGTCAATTTGCTACGTTGTCATGACGTCGGTAATGTGGACCTTGGTGTACCTGCTTCAATGACCCCTACTCCCATCCGTTGAATTCCATAATCGTTAGTGTCCGTACGAAATATATTTAGTCTCCATCGTTTTTTTTTTCATTCCTAACGGCTGTTTGTTCCAACGAAACACCCATACTCTAATCCCCGGGCTATTGTAAGCTCCAAGGGGTATTCGGAAAGTATTGTAACTTCATATTTTATTATGAAGTCATCTTGTGACGTTCATAACGGCAGTAATGGAGACGGTTTACTCAACATTCTAATGACGTCATATTCTGACATTTTTATGACGTCAGTAATGAAGACGGTTTTGAAAATTTCTGCTTTCGATATACACTGTTTTTTGGTTCTAATTTATCACGCACAAAAATCTTGAGGGACATAGGCCGGCGCCGGGTTTTCAGTCACTTTTTTCTTTGTCATATTTTTACATGACGTAAATTTGTGGTATTATTGTGTCGCCAGCAATAAAGTCACGATTTTGAAAATTTCTGCTCGAGTGCCCAAACTTATGCGAAAGCTATGGTTTTCCTAACTTCATTTCAAGGGTGGAAAATTGATCACCTTTTTTGCTTGAAAATCTGAAAATATTCAAAAATGCATGTATATAAATATGGGACATACGTTATTTTTGTTATCAAAGTAAAAAGAAAGAGTATCGGTCAGAGACCGAACACTTATCGTCGAAAGTTAGGATCCCCAAAACAGTGCTCTTACTTCATAGTGACACCTTGTGTCCTATTACTAATAATTAATAAACCTCGGCTAATTATAGACAAATTCATCCAAAATCAATATGCTTCTGGTCCGACATATGATGAATGCCACATGCAAAATCTGGAGCAGATACAATTCCGCTTTTCGTGAGACTGTCCGCTGTCATCTAACAGACAGACAGACAAATACCTATCAACATACTTACCGATTAAAATCGATAAGTAATAACAAATTTTTGATATCACAATATAGAATTTGCTATAGAATTTTAGCATTGACCCAGTCTGTTCAACCTTTTCTTTCCCACTTACAATGGTCAAAAACAAACCATTTTTGATTCAGTACTCAAATTGTACTTTTGTTTGCGATTTCAACCTTGTCAGAATTCAGAGGAAGACCCTCTGGCCGTTCCGATGAAAATGCGAATGCCGGAAGAGGAATACTCAGAAGAACTGAAAGATCCGGAAAGTGAGGAATTCAAGAAGAAATCGGCAACGATGAATATGGCGAAGCGGTTTGTAAATTAAATTATTCCCAAACATGACATAATTTTTAAAAAACATCGCATTGGTTTTGCTGTTAAAATCTATGACGTCACGCAGCGTAGCCTTCATTAGCTATTGTTACTTCATATTTTTCATCTAAAGTTATATTGTGACGTTTTATAACGTCATTAATGAAGTCATGTTTTCTTCTTTGTCGCCTGATCCCATTACTGTTACAAATTGTCGTCGGCGGTACAAAAAATATTTACGTTTGTTTTTGAAATTTTCATTGCCAAAGAGCTACTCATTATTAGTGTCGTGCGTTACGAGCCAGCAAATCCCGAATAAAGTATTTCAAGCGAGTACTATCAGGAAAACAGGTAACTATTACAAGAAAATTTGATCGAAGCAAGGTTACACGCACTCACTCAGAAGTAAGGGTGTATTTTATGCAAAATGGTGCCCATGGAAAAAGTTTATAAAATGCGTTGCAAGTTTTAAAATGCGCCTTGATTGTTGACCGACGATTTTTAACGACTGTTGTTGAACTGGGATACTTGTACGATACATTGTCGATCACTGAAATAAGAGGTTTCGCAAACTCACCCGGAAATAAAGTAGACTCTCACCCACTTAAGTAGAGTTGTGGGCTAACACTGAACTGCGAAATGCTACATGGAAACGATATAAATCTGTGGTGGCGCATTGAAATGTACTAATTGAACACGTCAGTGTACATAACAATCGTTTCAATATTATGTTGTTGGACACGTTTAGTGGCCATAACGATCGTTTCAAAATTTTGTTGTTATTGTTATTTGTCTCCGTCTCCATTTTAAAAAAATCTCTTTTCTCTTCGAATACTGGACCAATTGCTTTGATATTTTCATTGGGTAAAGATAAAATTTTTCTCCAGAAGGCTATTACTTTTTTTTCTCGCTATGACGTCATCAAAATTATTGCCACTGGGTGGCGCTACGTGTCCATATATTTGAGCATAGCTCTTTTCTCTTCGAATACTGGACCAATTGCTTTGAAGTTTTCAGTGTTTAAAGATTTATTTTTTGGCCAGAAGGCTTATTACTTTTACTTATTTCGAAAATTCCCGTGGACTTCAAGAGATTCGTTTTTTATGTGTCAGAACAAAAAAATATCGACACCTTGTGACGTGTCCATATATTTGAGCACAGCTCTCTTGTTTTGAGTATAATACTCAGGTTAAACACTAAATGATACTTTTTCTAATTTGTTTAGCTTGCAGATGCTTTGAAAGACGATGTACCTGGATTAACAGGAGTGAAAGTCTTGGGATTCTCGTATGTTTTTTTAATTTGATTTTTGTCTATTATAAAGATCCATATAATGATTGAGATCATATCACCACCACCCCTAGTTCTAACCTGATGTCTATATTGCAGCCTAATAGTCCCCCTATAATAGGTACCATTTTGAATGGCAACTACAAAGGAGGCCATTTAAATAGCGATTTGAACCATATATCCATCCAGAAGGTCATTCATGTGGCGATCGGGACCAATATTTACCCCTATACCTGCTGTCTACATGACAGCTCAATAGTCCTCTACAAAAAAAGACATTCAAATAGCAATAGGTACCGTATATCTATCCTTAATCTTAATCTGCTGCCTTTACAGAAGCCATTTGAATGAAGATTGGGGCAATAGATCTAGTTCTATTCCCAAAATGCTTGCTTTATGGCAGTTAAAAACCCCACTACAAGGGAGTTCATTCAAATGTTGACTAGGGTCATATATCCATTCCTAACTAAAACCTACTATTTACATGACAGTACTATGGCCTCCTACGTAGGAGACCATTCAAATTGTAAATGGAAACCATATATATTCACCCTAAATCTTAACCTAGTGTCTATATGGTATACGGAGGTACTTCACATTGTGTTCTATCAGTAATCCTAACCTGCTGTCTTCGTGCCAGCCAATAGCCATCTACGGAGGAACCGTACAAATACTGGTCGGAACAATATAACCAATCCTGTTCCCAACCTGCACATTATTCTATTACGGAGGAGTTCGAATGAGAATTGAGACCATATAACCATTCCCTTCCTGCTATTAATAAGATAACCTATAGCGACTGGGATCATTTATCCACCCAAAATCTCAACCTGTTGTCTATAGTTATACGGATTATAGACATACGGATCAGGCAGTTCAAAAGGCAACCTATCAGTAACCCTAACCTTTATTCAGAAACGGAAGTTTGGTCGTGTACTATGAATTGATCTTTGAAGACGGAGTAAAGAACGTTTCCATGCTGTACGAAGGAGATGGAACAGATCCGCCCAAACCCGGCGAACCTTTTGATCAAGAGAAATTTGCAAAGGTGAAGATTGATACCATGCAATTTAAAAGTTCTGCTGTACACTAACACAAATGTATTTTTGTAACGTTTCGTCTGAGCAAAATCAGACTTCCTCAGACAAGCAAGTAAACAAAAATCATGCTATTTAAATACGGCGATAAATGGATTTGTTTGAAATTGATTTAAAGTTTTGTCCAATTTTTATTCGATAATTTCACAGAGCAACTCTGTACTTGTCTTGGGCGAGTGTATCCGAGTTCATGAATATTAACAAATAACTATTTCCAAACCGGAAGAGAGGCCGTGGTTCGCTATTTGATTATGCTTTTTTTGTAGGGATAAACGTGAAAAGCCGAACCAAAAGACCCTAATATTCTTTTTTATTCTATTCTTCATTCAAAATGTACATTAGAAAATTAATTAACATTTATGCTAACATTTGTGGTAACATTTTAGAATGTCAAAACCAAAGTAAAAGAAGTGATAAAGGAAGCAATATCAAACCCAGAAAAACGAGACGGTAAATCAGACAACCCGATACTGACCAAGAAAAACGTTGACCTGGATTCGTTGGACACGATTTCTGACGATGTTGTTCACGACTTAGTCAAACTGGTAAGAGTACTTTATGAAGATAATATTCCCTTTTGGCTCCATATTTTTTAGATTATTTTATTCGGTACTCCCGTAGTGTGTGTACCCGGTAAGGGATAGAATATCATTTCATTCCAATTTTCCTAATTTTAGTTCTATTACGAGTTCGGGGACTGTCTGTGTTAGCCAAGTTAATTTAATGTCCATTGGTTTCAGTCTCTTTACACAACTTGATGTAAAGTAGGCGAACAAAATTAGTTACCGCCATATTAGTACACACATTTCTGGAGCCTAATTGTATTTAAAAACAAGGGTGTATGGTCGGAGAGATGGTCCATTTAGTTTTGTAAGGCGCGCAAAACGCTCTCCGATCTTATTTTGACCTCAACTGAGACTTTTCACACGACTTGCACCTGGCTACGTTTATTCGTGCGTTATTCACTTGAATGTATAACCTAGAGCAGTGGTTTTCAAACTTGTCAAGTCACGCCCTCTTTTTAGAATTTCTCAAGTCTCGCGCCCCGCCCTTAAAAATATTTAGCTAACAAGAAGCTATAAATAACAGATAGTAAGGCAAAGGTATGTTTTATTCAAAAAACACGTTGAAAATACGTGGATGGAATCGCAACCTCTAAACAATGAAGAAATGTGATTATCCAAAATAAGGCGGACAAGATCAAATCTAACAAATATTTTTATTTTTAATTATCTCGCCCCTCCAAAAATTGTCTACGCCCCTCCCCCCTTTGTGGGGTGCTCCCCACCGTTTAAGAATCACTGACCTAGAGCTTATAAGAAATAAATTTGATATTGGCGCATCGCATTAGTTTTATCCAAAAAAATTCCTTATATTGGACTGCGTTTGTTTTAGTAAAGTCCCGGATGCGCCCGATTGTCAAAGTTGATCCGATAACACCAACCAAGATGAAGGCCAATGGGGATGGATCTGGTTCTGGTGGGGGACAAGATTAAAGACGAACACCTTCAACAAATGAGAAGTCCGAAGTCGAAAACCCCGATGAAGGGTGAAGACAAGGGGATGAGTGTACGTGTAAGTTTATATTAACGTATTAGGGTAATTTGAGATTCTGATATCTTCTTGTAACTCTTCTCCCTCTGTAACTTGGCCGACTGGCGAATTATTTGATATGGGTGGTGTCTTTTCCACAGTCAAGTTGTTATGATTCTAGGCGCTTTAGCCCTCGTGGGGTTATCAAACAGATTTAATATTAAATATGAATACATACTAAATAATTTTTTTGTCTGTGGCATCATCTAATTAGTTGTGTGGCACTATTCACTGGCATGTGGCTCAATATTTGGTGACCGTACATTTGAACCCACGTTCATTTGAACTCATGTGTATATCCGCGGATTCAATTTATATGCGGGTGCTAAACCCCATAGGTTAGGGTTAGTATGGGTTCAAATATCCGTAAAACAAAAAAATATTCCCATAGATGCAATAGTATGCGGGTGCAATTGCCGTGGGTTTAAATGTAATGAAACCCAATATTTGAATTAGTGTCTTTCGCATTTAAGTGAGTTTTTGGTTTGAGCCTGTGGCGAGCAAATTGTTCTAATGTTAAATATGTGTATATACAAAATAAATGTTTGTGTGTGGCATTATGTAATCAATTTATCACATCCTGTGAAATAGCATGTGGTCGAACGCTAACATGTATATTTGTGACTGTGTATATCAGTTCGGTAAGAAAATAACTCTATTCAGAATGTTCAGTAGGATCATCCCTGTTATGTGGCAGACATGAGGTTGAACCCAAAGTTTTTGGTCTGATTACTGGGACATCGTAATCCATGATTTCGATTTTCCTATTGTAATTAAATGTGAATTAGTGGCGTGGCGTGACGTAAAATAGCAACGTGGTAAGATTTTAAAATGTGTCCACTTGATGATTGACTAAAATTTTTCAAATTGAGAGTATCATTTAGATACTTTTACATAATTATTTAAGTAAAAATACGAGTCTCAATTATTTCTTATTCGGTATTATTTTATTGAAACCTTTTACGATTAATTTTCTACGATTTTCGCCTATGGGTGCCACACCCTAGATACGCCAATGTGCAAATGCTCCCATATTTTATAATACCTAGCTTCCATGAGTTTCGAATATATTTACAAATTCAAACTTCATCATAGGAGCCAGCCAACACGGAATCTTCAACAACAACAACATCTGCAACAACCATAACCACAACAACTCTCGATAATGAAGCATTTGTCACAGAACCGAGTCTGAAAAATGATGTAACTACAGGTATATACGTTTTTGTAGTAGGATTTTGAATAAACATATCAAGGAAATTGACAAGAGTCATGTAGTAATTAGGCGATGATAAACTGTTATAACGAAAGAAGTAGCTTTGTGGAGTTGTGCATACAAACTTTTTAAGTCAAATTTAAACATATAGGTGATGTCAATAACAAAGATGCCACATAAAGTAAAACATAAAATATATATTACGAGCCATAATTGAAGAAAAAAATTAACGCCGCTAGCACGTGAATAAATCCAGAGAGAACTCCTTAGCCATAATCTGAAGAGAAGTGATTCCGTAAACTCCGCTGAAAAGAGTTCATTTAAACATTTTTCTCGAATGAAAACAAACGTTAGCTTTGAATTTTAGTATTAGGTTTTGGGTGCATTGCTCTCAGTACGGTTGAAGCAGTACAGGAAAATCGTTGTCTAAAAGAATAATTAATTTTTCCACGACAGATCCAACCGATGAATCTCCAAATCCTAATTCTCATCTTGACTCCCCTGAATATCTAGACTCGTTGGATGACAACGGAGAAAATCACTATGACAACGATGATGACGACGAAGTCAATAATAATGACGTCACAACCATTTCTGCAACAACAACTAGCGTTACGACGACCGTTCCTACAACGACCGCACCAACTGAAAGTGACGTCACAAATAACTATGAAGACGTAACTCAAGATGACGTCATTAATGACGTAACCAGGATCAATACAGTCGATCAAACAATCAACGATACATATGCTCAAGTTACAACTCCGTCTATTAATGTTGAAAATTCAGCAACGCCAGAATCGCTGAAAAATGGAACTACTGAAACGCCAGAAAAGACGGAAAGTGAAAGAATAGCAGCGGAAGAAGGAAACCCACTGCCTGGAACGTAAGATATTTTTCAAAATAAAATATGACGCAATATGCGAGGCGGGCAGTGGGGGTTGGTCGTTGGAAAGAGTATTCTGATTTTAGGATGTTTGATTTGAACTCATAGTCGTATTTTTATACTCACCGGGAGACGGGTACTTTGATTATTTTTAATCTGGTTGGTTATTCAACTAAAACACAGCACTGTCTGTTATATGAAATCGAACCTGTTGTAATGGCCTTGAATCAAGGTAAAATGACCACTTTTCCCACTTTTTTTTATCACAAATACTTGTTTTACATCAAAATGCTCTTGCGGCGATTTTTCCTATGCGGCAAAATTTCCTGCGGCGAACTTTCCTAACCGATTTTCCACCTTCCCCCAAAGCTGCCGAATGGTGGCTACCGGATGTGAGGAGGATTTTCCAAACTACTCAGACCGGCCACAACATTTACCATATCACTAACGTTTTTTTTTCAGAAATATTAATGATCTGAGTCAGACAGTTTTTATGAAATTACGAGTCACGAATATGAACTACACAAAGAATCTGACGGATAGACAAAGCGAAGAGTTTAAGATATTGGAAACGAAATTTACGCAGGTGAGTTTGTGGATGTAATTATTGTAATTTGTACTACTCACACTCCATGGCAAAGATGTGCAACATTTTTTGTTGGTGGACCATATAACCAACTTCAGACATCTAGCTAGGCTCTCCTTGTCTACAACAAATCAAAAACTTCCCACTATTCAAAATTATATTTGTTTCACATTTTAGTGAAACATTTGAATTATTGAGTTCTTGCATTGTTTGTTAACATCAGCTTTGACAGAAGTTAGGATTTTATGCTTGATGGGGAAGGGAAAATCCGAGTGTTGACAAGGGCCGCACTAAATGGCTTGGCAGGCCGGGGCCGCCTGTTGCAGACACGTACTCTATTGATGATACCCTGCAATAACAGTACTGTATAGTATTTGTCTCAAAACCTAACCACAATAATGTTGGGGTGCTAGAGCATTGTGTACTTAACTGCAAGTCTCATTTCCTTGTCTACTTCCTACTTCGGATCTGTATGTGTCAGTTGCCACGAGGATGCTTGAACGAGATAGTATTATAAAGTTAAACAGAAATAACATAATCTCTTTCCACGAAATAGCAAGTATATTTGCAAACTTTCGTTACATCTTAACTTCTTTAGACAAAACAAGACACAACAGCAGCAAAATGATAAGTTATATCTTGGTTTGTCTGAAAAAGTTTGGACTATGATCTAACGAAAGCTATATAATTACTTACTATTTCGTGGAAAAAAATTATGGTACTCCTAATTACCATAGTGCGATCTATGACAGATATATATAGTAATATAATACGCGCAGTTTTGCAAACTGTGCTAAGCGTTCAGAACTCACGTGTATCATCGTTGAGATTGTTAGCGTTTTTATATTTTAACTTGCTAAAATAATGAGTAACAAAGATGTACGGCTACGGGTCCCAAACTTTTTGTTCGTGCGGCGCCAAATTAGCACAAGGGACTCACGGTGCAATTACACGAGAAAAAATTGCTGCCTTTAAATAAATCTTAATTTTGTGATCGTAACAGAACGCTACGCAACAGGAAGTAAACGACTTAAAAAACTAAAATGAATTTATTGATTCATACATTCAAACAGTAAAACATTTATAATAAACACAATATGTAAAATATTTAATCATATAGTAGGTATGTTTAACACAATTCTTTTTTTTTTATGCGGCGCAATTAATTAGATCAAATTTCAATGAGTTAGTACATTCTAAACTATAGCATCCGGGTCAATAATCAAATTAAATCCTCGACTTTATAATCCACGTCATTTGATGGTGATTGAATAGAATCCACGAGGTCGCAGCTGGTTGAGTACACTTTAGTAATATTTGTAAAGTTAACTTGTATTTTGGAGTTAATATGAAAACAGCCTTGCAGGAATATATACGCGGGTGGCTCAGTTGATAGGATTCATGGCTCTCACCAAAGCTGGATCATGCGTTTAAGAGGCCCTAAGCCAGGGTGGTTCAAACCCAGGCCCTCGGGCCATATGTGGCCCGCCGCTTCATTATCTGTGGCCCGCGTCGCATTTGGAGTCGCAAAAAATCGCATTTAGAGTTGTTTCCTCATCAAAATAACCAAAAATTTTGAAAAATTAGTAATTATCCTCCTGTATCTCAAATTTGGTAATCACTCAATCTGCGATTATATGTAAGTTATTTAGTAAACATGAGTTTGAAAAGAAGGCTGACCAATTTAAACAGATTTTTGACTGAATATGGTCTGGGAATACCACAATGCTTGCTCAATATTCTGCAAGTTAGGTCGCTGACAATCTAAAACTGTATTTTCTTCATTTTTTCAAAGATTTTTGCTCGTTTCAGCGAGGTTTTTGCATTTTTTAGCTTGATAAATGACAAAAATTAGGGATAGGGGAGTTTGGACAATAAAAGTGTTTGTTTTGTATTGCACTGTTTACCTATTCTTGGCACTATTGTGGCCCGCGAACAAGACAAAAATAATAGTGTGGCCCGCGAGGCCGACAACTTTGGACCACGCTGCCTAAGCAGTTAAGACTTCGGTGCCCTATACAGAGAATAGTAGGCTTATAATAATAATAATAAAATGGCGTTATTTTTGGGAATAGTTCACATATCTACAAACATTTATGGAGTGGTTTAAAACGATATTTGAAAACGAAAAAGGCACAAAAATTCATTTCAACCGGGCGGATATTTAGGTCTGTGTCGTCTGACTTAACACTGAGGCATCGTTATGAAGACCTCTGCGGTGTCATAAGCACGTGCTTGTTTTGCTCAATGGTTAATCTAGCTCTGAGCCTCACCCACGTGACTCTAGTTCTATCCCCAATATTAGAACACGTGCAATATATGCTTGCTGTATGTAATCTAGAAATAAAATGCCACTAACAAAAATGCGTTTAACTTGACTTGGGTTAGAATTGTTTCTGGAATGAAACTGTTTCACCAAATTCACTTGTAGAAACAAGGACAGGAAATATATGTAGTAGCGATCAATTTATGCTATTGCAAGTTTGCTCGCTGCGAGGTCTCAAGCCTCAATTAAAAAGTAGCAAAAGTAATGATACATAAAATATTTTTGAGAAAAGGGCGTCATGCGTGTCTGATTGATAGTAATTTTTCGCGTTTGTTTGTAGCGTACTTTACGTATTTTGAGTGGTGTTTCTGATTACCCAATAGCCAAATATTCAATTTTAAGTGTCTCTTCGTAAAGAAGTTTTTAAATTGAATATACGTATAAAATATGTAATATATTCTGCGGAACACTTAGTGGATTTGAAGCATGAATACTCCACATGCTTGTCATCGTTACAGAGTAAATAAAAATTGTGATTTGGCAAGAATTCGAATAAATATCACACCATTAACCGCAGAAAGTATAGGATATTTTGATACGAACTGCAAGTCCTTTCTCCCTATTTACTTCCTACATAGTACTTGCACAAACAAAGAAATAATGAACAACAAATCTTGGTGAAAAAGGCTTGAAATAAATATTACACGTACAATAACTGTTTAATAAAATGTCTCCATGCAGGAGCGATTCGCGCCTTCGATTCGGAACGGTCTTTATACGAGCAGACATTGACACGAAACCAGTGATGAGCTGTAGCCGGAACGGCGTTCCTGTTGTTGGACATTTTATTGCATTTGCGTTCCTGTTGTTGAAATAAAATTATGTCACGGAAAATTTAGTTTCTCTGGTAAACTTAGGTATTAACTTACGTTTTGTTACGTAAATATATTTTTTTTCAAACATGTAGTGGATTTTCGCCGACCTTTGACCCCGTGAAAATTTGTCTTGTTGCATTCTAATAAAAACATTTGTATTGAATTAGTATGAATATTCTTGTAATTATAAACAGACATATTTCAGATAATGAATTCATATTTCATTGTAGTTCTTCGGCTCAATCTTGGGACTGACAAAAATTTCTGGCAGCGTCCGCGTCGAGTTGTAAAAATATATTGCATACACGATTTAGGTGCGTTCCGGTTGTTATAATTTTTCCAGCTCATCACTGCTGACGAAACTAATATATATAGAGAGAGTATAGTCTAGAACAGAATTTTTCCGACCCGGAATTCAGACTTTTAATTACTTACCAAATGCAAATTCCATTACACCCATTACCCATTATTTTTAACAAGATGCCGCCGTCAGGGGGAAGCTGTCATGTATTGTTATTTTTTTGAGACCGGAATCTTTTCGGTTCAGAATTCATTCTACTTATTGAATGCTAATTCCACTTCACCCAATGTGAGATGGTGGGCACTAGACTAGACCAGCGCATCAATAATCCTTTCAATGCCTTCCTCTTGTAACATTCTGAACCCCGTTTCTTCTTGCATATGCCGACTCTTACGCGAGGCACTGTCCTCACGATTATGGCGCAACATAACTATGACGTCATATTCAATTTGTTTATTTTTGATTTATGTTTATTCTTCCATAATCAAGATGGCAGTTACCTAAACAAATTCCACGCGGTAAAAATGTTCCCTTTATTTTAGCTTTTAAGGCCACTTCTTCAATCAATGGATGGATTTGTTGGGATGGAGGTCGTAGGATTCAGTTACGGGTCACTGGTTGTGAACAATGAATTACATTTCAAAGAACACGCCCCTGAAAATGTCAAGGAAGACGTAAGAAAACGAATCGAAGCAGCCGAAGGATATTTCAAATACGCCCATCTGGCGGTGGATACAAATGCATTGGAAATTCTGAAACGTAAGTTTGAGTTTAACATTTACAATGAGTAAATATCAAGGTTCGCCACTGGAACACATTTTTTCCGGCTAATACCATGGTAGTTTATGCCTGTTCCATCCCATGTTCAACCCCGCAAATCTCATATTCAGTACAATAAGTGTGCGCAGCTTGTGAACGCAGAACAGTTCCTGTACGCATCTCCCTCACACGGATATGCATTTATTACTTACTTTACTTTCCGTTCCGTAATTCTGTATGTATAATGTAATGTAAAAAAACCACTGATATAATATGTAGTCCCGATGCAAATCAGAAAACACAATTAGTTAATAATTTCATTTAGGAAATTATATTTTCGCTTTACGTTCGGCGCACCGTGTTAACTGCGCGAGTAACACGCTAATCATTGTATATTATTCCTGGGTAGTATGAAATTTGAAGGCCCAGAGCTAATCTGTTCAATAGGAAGACAATAATGGCAAGGAGGTAATTCTTTTGAAAAGGGAAAATTTCTTTAAAAAAATTCTTTTTAAAAGGGAAATTTCTTTAAGAAAATTGGTCTAAACCACAGGACAGCGTTTCCCAGACGGGAATTTTGTTATTTTTGAGGAGGGGTTTACTTATATTGTTTATTTATTTGGTATCAATATTTATCAGTATTATATAATATACCACGCAATATAAATCTCCAAATAGTATAGGAAGAAAACCACTATTACAATGCCGAGTGCATTTTTACAGCTAATGAAGCCAACCTTTGTGAATTCGTCCAATGTCAACTCTACTCAGATTGCGTCGTTCGGACAAGTTTCAAAACTGAATGTGTTTGTAGGCCGGGATATATGTAAGTATAGATGAGCTTGATATTCCAAACCTGCTAACAAATTTAACGACCTCCGCCGTGTTAGGAATGCTGATGAAATAGTTTATCAATATAACAATTCACACACCATAGAGACCATAATACGGTTATTGTAGTTTTTAAATACGGGGGTTGCATTACAAAATATGACACCGTGAGGCAAAGCAAACAAAAAACCAAACGGCCACATTGGAAATTCAAAATTAATATAACCTGGTGCCATAAAGGAGTAGTAGTACAATATTACAACGCTACAACACACAGAAGACGGATTCATACAATATAACTTAAAATATCGCCGTCGCCATCGTTTGAGAACGGGGTTTCACATAAGGAGTAAAGTTTAAGATTGACCCGATTCATTGCCATTGTAAATTATGCGATGAGAGCATCCAGAAGTAGCTAAAGAGCAGTGCTCTTCAACCGGGTATACGGTATACCCAAGTGTATACCGGACCAGAAGTTGGGTATACAACTGATAAAGCAAAGACGCATTCTCACGCTCATTCACGCAAAGAACCGTCATGAGCACATTGTTACATAACAAATTATATAGATAATGCGGTCACGTCTCTTGGTTGGTGATTTCGGCTGCCATGCACTTCGTTTGATTTACGTTGAACATTATTCCCGTTGACGCCAAGGTCGTCAGGCAAATTTATACCTTGCGGTCACTATCTTATTAGATTGCATGATGATATTGCAGTACAATATGTGCTTAAAATTTAATGTTAATTTAAGCGTTAAATAAACATTGGTATTTGAAAGGTATATGAAGTTTTTGAAAAATTGTAAAAGGTATACCACGATAAAAAAGGTTGAAGAACACTTCTATAGAGTAGCATTTATAGAGTAGAGCACCATTTATATTATTACCATTAGTAGTCTGATTTTACTTACAATTTTATATAATAGAATCTAACTTTTCTCCCAGATCCGTTGATCCGCGAAACTGTGTGTCTTTGTGTGACCTCGAACCAGGATATTGCAGAAACGGCGGGAAATGCCACATAGTCCCGGGTAGAGGAGCCGTTTGCAGGTATTTCATATTATCTGGATTTTTTTTGTTCATTTACTTATTATTGCAAAAAAGTTCCCCCTTCCTGGCTACGCCACTGCTTTTAATTAAAGATTTCTCACATTTCCCACATCCATTCACACTTAACTAGTGTAGAAAAAGTGATAAATTCAAAATTCCTATTTCCAATATTTTACTTTTAACAGATGTCAGGTCCAATATAACTGGGCGTATAGTGGAGAAAGATGCGAAGACTTGTTGCCAAAATCTGTCTTGCTGGTCAGTGTGTCAACTGGAGTAGCTTGTGTAATGTTCATGCTCTTGCTGGCTGGTTCGTTCTATTTCTTCTATCGGCGAAGACGAAATAGGAAAGCGGATAAGCTTGCAATGGAGGCCGAAGACAAGGATTTTATGAGGTAAGCGAGTGTGTAATCGGAAAAATTTCTGCCAACTGGAGATCCACCATTACAAAATTCTCTCGGTGGAATATTCCACCAAAAGAAATTTAAACTCTAACTTTACTCTCAATGGAACAATTGCGGATGAAACGTTTCGTACACCACAAGGTACTACAAAAATCCTTACACGATTGGACCAATAAAATTTTTCATTGAATGTTCCAATCAGACAAAGATCAATCATAACGTTTGCCTACGTTAACATCATTTTTTATTTTGTAGGTATTTTTATTGATTGTCACTGAAAAAACTCTGCACACGAAGCTCCCCTTTCTCAAATTCCAACATTAGTAAACTTTAATCCAGGCGAATTTAAACTCTAATCATAACCCTAATCCCCATGGAATATATAGGATTCCTGTTTGGAACTTTGCGGGCTCCACAAGATAATAGAACGAGAAAATTCCTCCCTAGGGAGATTCCCCCATAGAAAATTTTCTTCGTGGATTATTACAGTTAAACTCTAAAGCCAAATTCTGGAATATTTTGATTCTTCGAAAAGAACCGTGTTTTTTACACTTGTTCCAAAATTTTCCGTACACCACAAGTACTCAGTGTTGCATATGTAACTAACCTCCAGTAGTCTAGTTCCTCCTTGTAAACTTCCCAAGTTCAAAATATCTCCTGTCACAATATGGTGCCAAATGTTCTCTACAAAGTTACGGACCAATTATTTCTACATTGCTTTTGATCTATGAATTACTATATTAATACAACCAAACACTCCAGTCAGATCCTAAAAACATAACATGTATTGCATCATAAAATAACATTATATGCAATAAAACAACCCGAAATCCGTTATATAGACTATAGAGCACTGACACCATGTATACTATTCCTAAGAAGCTAACAGACTTCTAATAGGACGCTGAAACAATTTCCTAATCAAATGCAGACTCCTATCACTACCCTCAGTGAATTACAAAACAATATACAAATTTTGTCTATGATCTCATAATCCCACTAAATCATAACATTTTGTCAAGGTATAAAACGACCTAAAATCACGCAGTAAATAGGTAATTAGGGATATTCGAGATGAATAAAATGCCAAAAGCGTCAGCTTTATTTAATTTAGTACCGGCAGTGACTTGTACCGTACACATACAGACGAGGCGGTAATCTCAGTATACTCACAAACAAACCCAGATCTTCACCAGTTCTAAACATCACGCAGTAATAGAGGTTCCTTAAGGATATTCTCATCATATAACAGTTTAGTAACATCGACTCGAAAATGGAAACCTCTGACAGATAGAATTTACGCCCCATATAGGCAGATACATCAGCACACTCAAAACAATCCCAGATATCCGCCTATCATAAATTGCTGGTCACATCACGCTGTAATACAAAGCATTAACGATATTCCCAATAAATAGCAATTCTGTAACATCGGTCTATCTAATTCAGTACCGATAGCGGTAACTAAAATGAAACCTCTAACAACTAGAATTGCGCCACACTTAGGCAGTTATATCAGTATACTCAAAACAATCCCAGATCTTCGCCTACTCTAAACTACTTATTACATCACACTGTAATAAAGATAATTAACGATATTCCTGATAAATAACAACTTAGCAGCATCGGCACTATCTAGTTTAGTAGTCTCATTTAAAATAGAAACCTCCGACAATTAGTCTTGCAACACACACATGCTATTATATCAGCCTACTCACAAATAACTCCAGATCTTCGACTATCCTAAACTACTAATCACATCACACTGTAATGAAGGTACTTCATGGTACTCTCAATAAATATAACCATACAGCAACATTGGCACACATTAACCCTGGACAACCAAAATTGCACCATACCCAGGCGGGCAGTAATATCAGCCTACTCACAAATAGCACACTATCTTCACCTATCCTAAATTACTGGTCACATCACGCTGTAATAAAGATACTTATTACTGTACGATATTCTCAATAAATACCAATCTAGTAACATTCAGTACCACCAGACCACCATGCTCCTTTCCACAGGTAATACCAGCATACTCACAATCCCTTTTTCTTTCGTAAGCTACTAATCATCGGGTCAGAAATAAACAAGCTCTGTTTTATATTGAGTAACTTACAACCATTACACTGAGGTAATCAAACATAAAACGTTTTCAATCTGACCAACGCAAGCTACACACTGCAAACAGCAACCTAACCTCACTAGACATCCGAAGACACACTGACAGTGCTCTAGCGCCCTCAGTCTTTCGAACGTAAAATACAATATTCTAACAAATGGGTCAAACAGTCGGTGTCCGAGGATAAAAGGAAGGGTTGACATTTTGATAAAACGTTCATACGGCATTAAAATTGTATGGATATAAATATTTTAAAACTCTAATGCATTTTTCAGTGAGAGTGACGTAATACTTGTTGATGACGTCATTTTAAAATGTTATTTAGTATCTACCTTGTTGCGTGAAAAGTCTCAAGTGCTTTTTGGATTTTAATTTTTAAATCGTAAAGCAAATGTTATTACTGAAATACACAATAAATTGTTATTCATCTCTAGGATGCAGACATTATACATACTTTTTATACTTTATATCGCCAGGGCTGCTCAAGTAATGTCCGGCCACAAGAGATCGGGAGGACCAGAGAGACTGCAAAGAGTGAATCCTATGTTCGTTCAAGAAGGCAGTCCAACGTCTGATTTCAAACGTAATTCAATTTAATGATATATTGGTGGCAATTAATGGGATAATCAGTAAAGTTAAATAGGGCTAGGAGTTGGCAGGACGTCAGCCCTATATCTTTATTTATCAGCGTGTTTGGATTTTGCAGAAAAAAGCATTCGTTTTTTTCGCCGCTTTATTCAACTTTCCATTCACTCCATTAATTTACTAATATTCAACTATTTACTAGGAATAGGCCATTATCAACATTCATGACCTTTGGCCGATGCTGCCAGTAACTTTTTGAGGGCACTCTAGCTTCACCGTGCCGTTTCATAATTCGTCGTTGACTTTCTCGCCTGTCGTAGAGTGCGCTGTGTATAAGTGTTACTTTGACAGTATTTTTTATATTAAAGATTAAATACACACTTTATTACCGCTAAGCATGCTGAAACGTTGGAACTGCTTCGTGCTGTACCGGTACCGTAGCGCCAGGTGACCAGACATCGTGTCATATTTTGTCAGCATCTTGTCTAGGGTGTACCTTTAAACTCAAACACTGACATACAGTATTACGGCAAATCCACTCCAGTACCGTATTGGGACTCAACAAAACAACTATCCTTCAGATCTGAGATCTCCCACCACCCAACCACATGCGAACGCAAAGCAAAATCGTCGCGTTCCCTCAAAAACTGGTTCTGACAGCAACCGACACGTTACGTTGATTCGTATGAAAATTAATCGTTCACTAAATTGTTGCGTAATAGTGATAACGTCATAGAAGTACGTCAATCGTTTTGCAGAAGGCAATACGCGAGGCTTGAGAAATTCTTCAGTCATGCTAGGTTACGGCAAGCCTGCACAACTCAAATTACCACGAGGGCCGGAAGCATAAATCTGAAGGCCCGGCGGGCCGCAAACTTTGCCACATACATATTTCACAAGATGAACTACAGATCAAAATAATATTGTAAAACATTACTGGGGAGCTTTAAAATATGAAGAATCTTATTTTCTTTAGTAAAAACAAGGTACAGTATTTTTGCATATGAGATGGCAAATATGTATTTAATGGTTCATCTACCTTGAAAACCCACCCTTCATTTTCAATATTTATTTTTTTTAGAATTAGGTATTGCGTGTTGCAGTATAAACTGATTGCAGGAAAATATTTCACTCAGGTTCCGTTTTGTAAAATCGTCCCAAATATATGTATGACAATTTATTTAGTCATATCCACCATTATTGGATATTTCCATTGTAGGCTGGCCAATAATCCGTTTAGTAGCAGTAGATAGATCTTCCTCTGTTGTACTCTTTCGACTGTTAAATTACATTTTTTACAAAATCTGCTTCAATTTATTTGAAATTTTACAGTAAATAGCAATATCTTTTAAGCGAGAATTTCTTTTTTAAGTTCTAAATTTGATTCAAAAAGAAACTTCAGTTTCGTAACCTGCTAGTAAAAAATAACGGGTTATTAATAGGTTGCTAATATGCACTAATATGTGTGAGATTGTATATCGATATTGTTTTAAGCGTGATTCAGTTTGTATACTGAGATATCTAAATCAGGGTTTCCCAAACTGGGGGGCGAGAGGTCAAGCGACGAATTTCAAGGGTCGCGGAGGGCACACCAATTTCACACAACGTTCGATATTTATTGAAACTAGTGCAAAACATAAATCTCACGATTTCGAGTACGATCGGAGTAGCGGCGCGCTTGCAAAACAATGCCGGCTTAGGCTGTTAGACCTGAGAAGTGGCGTGTTCCCAAATTACCCGCGGGCCGCACAGAAGTATCTAGCGGGCCGCATGCGGCCCGCGGGCCGTATGTTGTGCAGGCCTGGGTTACGGTAACAGGATCATATTTACTTATGTAGGTAAAACGTAGGTCTACTGCAACGAGGGATTTGTTAATCCCAATTTCATATTTCGATATGTTTACTTTTTAAAATTAGAATGAATTTGTATCTTCTCATTTTTATCTAGAAATATCTACAAGTACGGGTCACACCCCAAGCACATCAACGTCATCGCTCGGTCACAGGTCAGATGGATCAACCTCAACTTCCAGTTTCTTTGTGAGAGAACAGGTTAGATCGGACTTTTCATGCCTGCCCATGCGGAAATGAGATTCGATAAAACGGCCAAATTATGTAGTGAGCCAAGGTCGTTCGCGTTTTCCCGAAAATAAGACCTAGCCTGAATTTTGAAAATGATTTTAATATAAGCCCTCCCCTCAAAATAAGACGTAGTCGATAGCGCATTTTATTTTGACCCAGTCGATAGCGAGACCTCTATTATATATGTTTTGAATGATTAATAATATATGTTTAGCATATTTTTTCAAAAATTTGTTATTTATTATAATTAGATTTATTTATTAGAGGTAAACTGATATCGATTTTCATATTTTGTATATTTGAAATACTCGTAATTCCCTACTTCGCTCAGAACGAAGAAGTCACACTATATTACTCCAGGATGAGAAAATTCAGTCATAGATGGGGAAACTGTATGCCATATCGAATGGCGGAAATGCAGTTGAAGTTTTTCATAACAACGTTTGCTTATAATAAGGCCACGATATCTCACATAGAAGTAACAGAGGGTAATATCCGATTGAGTGAGATTAAGGTAACCTCTAAAACGTAAAAAGTGAAAAAGATTTTATTGAATTATAGGGATGAATTAAACGTTATTAAATAAAGTTGGACGGGAGAGTTGGAGAACAGACTTAAATAGCTATAAAGTAGTAAATTCCACGAGACTGACATCTTTGAATAAGAGATCTTTGCCATCGAATGCTCTATATTCTATAAAAGACTTATCAGTTCTTAAACATTTTAAGCCACGCCCCTTTTTGAAATTTGTCTCGAGCCCATCTCAAAGATAGCTATCTAACAATAGGCTACAAATAACAGAAAGTAAGGCAAAAATTTTTTAGTATTCAAAAAACACGTTGAAAATACATGGATGGCACGTGAATATCCAAAATAAGAAAATGTAAATATCTAAAATAAGGCGGGCAAGATCAAATCTAACACATAGTTTTATTGGACACGTTTAGTGGCCATAACGATCGTTTCAATATTATGTTGTTCTTGTTGTTCTTATTGTTTGACACAGAATAACACACCTAGTGGAAATATTAAAACACCGCTTTTCTCTTCGAATACTGGACCAATTTCTTTGAAATTTTCAGTGGTTGAAGATAAAATTTTTCCCCAGAAGGCTATTACTTTTATTCATCTTAAATATTTCTGTTAGCTCTGCGAGATTTGTTTTTGTTTGCTATGACGTCATTAAACGTTCTGCGGACATCGGACGCCATTTTGTGTCCTACTGTCCTGCTTCGCTTGGTGTGAATATATTTGTAGACTGTGATCTGACGGTACGGTAAACTGTACTGTACTGCGAACAGACGTGCTCATATATTTGGGCGTAGCTCTCTTGTTTTCAATTAGCAATTTCAAAAATTGCCTGCAACCTCCACTCCTTGTGCGGTGCGCCCCACCTTTTGAGAACCACTGTTCTATATATGTAACAAATATACGTATTCAATGCATAGCTTGGACACAATGGGCCGATCCCTGGCGATATGGACACACCAGAGAGACGAATGCTTAACTTACAAGTTGGGCAATACCCGAATCACAGGCAGACATGGTGCCGAGAGGATGACGATAAAAATAAGGTGTGTTACTGTAACTATCTGGGCTAAAAACATTACGAGAATCCAGGGTTCTCTTCAGTTAGGTACTAGCTAACCAAATGAATAGAGAATCTGACAAGAAACCATAGTCCGGCTTGAGTACTAGCTAACCAAATGGGCGGAAAATTTGATGAGAAGTCATGCTTCGCTGTAGGTACGAACGTTTCAAAAATTCGCAGGCGATCTTTTTTATACGTCGTTTGCCTGTTTTGCACAAAGTTCTGTATAATCGGAAAATATCAAAATCTTTCTCGTTGGCATTGTCTGCTAAATTCATTACGATCTTATATTCATATGCACATTAATTTGGTATTCCCAGGCGCTGTATCTTACTAGCTCTCAGTAGTAAATTTCAATTTTAATACAGATGGAAGCTTGAACATTGGTGAGGACTAGTATTTTAATAACTCGAAAAAAGCACGGAACATTTAAGTGTGTTACTTTTGTTCTAGAAATCGAAGAAAGACAAACGGGTAGAAAGAATGAAGACACCGCTCCGACGTTGAAGAAAAATTAGACTTTTGTTTTCGCGTTTTTCAATACTTGCCTGGACAAGCCAGTTAATATAGTTGACTAATGATTGTGATGTCTCTGGACCTGTTGAAAATAAGACTGTTCTTGTCAATTTTTTCGAAGCGTTTCTACCCCCTCAGTGACTTACTAAAAGCTGTTCGAAAGTTCATCTTTGATAGATTTCAATTTATTGTTACAAAATTTTAACAATTTAAAGCACGATGGTACTGGGCCTTAAATATTTCAGTTCTTAGTCAGGCATGTGTACGCGAAGAGCCTTCGTTTGAGCAAAAGCGGAAACAATTTATAAATCGAGTCATTGTATATATTTATATCCAAAATTTAACATACATTTTCTTGTACAAAAAAGTGGGTGTTTGTGCCTTTTTATTCAGCATTTTAGCATGAAGAACCGAAAAATTGCGTTTGCTAACAACTTTCTATAGAAAATAGCTACTGAAGTATATTCTTGACTGACTTGGGTTGGAGTCCACCGAATTACATTTTTACTGCATAAATGGTGACTGTAATGTGTATTTACCATTGCATTTGTATATATTTGCGTTTCTCTCGGCGCTCCAAAAGTATGTGTACCAATATTGAGGTAACTAATTTTGTTTGCCTATTTTACATCAGGTTGTGTAGAGAGATTGAAACCTATCGGCAGGGGGTATATTCACTTCGCTAACTCAAACAGTCCCGAACTCGTAATAGAACTAAAATAAGGAAAATTGAATAAAATTATGGCCTAACCCTAACATGGTACACATACTACGGGAGTGACTTTCTTTCAATTGCAGTTGTCTCTGCTTTTGCCAAATTCCGCCAATAAAGAACCCAACAAAGTACACTGTTAAGCATTGATTATAAAATTAAAAATTCATATAAATCATGGTAAAATAAATGGAAAGAAGACATACGGTTTAAGATTGTACAAACCCCAAGGATTACTAAAACAAATCAAATCAACAGACTCAGGGTCGGATGAAGGTACAAGGATGTGAAATCCGGTAAACTTTACAATCGACTCCCAACTTCGGGTGCAACAAATTTTGATTTTGACTCCCTACTCTGAATTAATGAAAATTTGACTCCGACTCCGGGTTGCAGAAAAATTTTGATACTCCTGAAGTATACGTACCAAGATGGTGGACACCGGAACGTAGTATATGTACCAGGCTAGGGTTGGGCCATAATTTTATTCCAATTCTCCTTATTTTGGTTCTAATGTGAGTTCGGAGACTAGCCAAGTGACTCCCGTAGTATTTCGGCCTGAAATTATGGCCCAACCCTAACCTGGTACACATACTACGGTTGTACCGAAGGTTGCACATCTCAAGTTTAGAACAAATGTTCATCTCCAGCAATGTCAAACAGAAAATATTCATCCAAAAATAGCAGCTTTTTCTCGTTAGATACCAGTGACCAGTTCGAGTCACTACGTTTTACGAAATTACATATTTCAAACAGAAATAAAGAATAGCAAGATACGAACATCATATTGACAAAGTAAAAACAAACCGGTTGGTGGTGCCAGTCATCCGATACAAAGAATTTCTCGGGATCGGTTTTAATTTACCTAATTACACTTCTTTCCTATTCCATCCCTAAATTGAGCTTGGAAAATTCAATTTTACGACTTGTTTCTGAAATTCAGAAATGTTTATTTTCTCACAAAAATAAGAAGAACATGTCTGTTTAAATATGGTACCACATACAATTTTATTAACCTCGTCGATCGCTTTTAGGTGACGCTTTGATATCAGGATTTTAATCAACTTAATCCGAGTTAGAGTCTGATTCGATACGTTCTAAATTTGCCCTTGTGAGTTCGATTTTACGATTTTTTTCTTCTTCGTCATCCCAGTCCTGCACCTTAGAATAGGCTTCCAAGGCCAGTTTGAATAATTCAACAGCCTTCCTTTTATTCCCCATTTTCTTATGAGCAACCCCAGCATTATTCATGCTGCATGCATATACTTTATAAGTTTGCAAATTCAGTCCAAATTCAGTTTTTATGAGTTCGATTGCAGTTTGGTTACTTTGTGAAAATTTGCTATATTCACCGCAATTGCAGTAGCAAAGACCGATATTACACCAGCACTTAGCCTCTGCCATCACTTTTGTTTCACGATTCGGACATTGGATTGATTGTTGAAACTTCATTATTTCATGCATGAGCGGTATCACGTGATCTTTGATAATCTCGATATTTTGTTCCTGATTTGCAAGGGATTGAACAACAATTGATATTTGTCGAACACAGACACTAATCCCACGCAACGATTGAACCCCGTTGTCTTTATATTGATGTAGTTTAACAGCGGCGTAGTATGCTGTGATAGCATGTACGTACTTCTTAGCAGTTCGAAATAGATCTCCAGTTTGGATGACTTCATCGCAACGCGATGAAAACCGACTAAATTGTTCTTCAATGCTGCCGCTTTGCAAGTCATTAGCTAATAGTACGATGAGAGTATTTGCAAACGCTGCTGTAATTTTATTTTTACTGGCTGCATGACTCCCGCATATCTTCAGTGCGATTCTTTGCCAAATAAATTTCCACGCTATTTTCACCAGAACCAAGTTTTCGTTGTCAATCTGTTCAGCATTTTCAATTTTTGATTCTAAAAATAAATGTGGATGTCTTGATAGTAAACTGAAATATATTGAAAATAAAAGGGAGAAGGTATAACTCCCATAATAGTCCCCTTTTATTAAAAGATGTCGGATATGGACACGACAAAAAATTCATCTTCGCAGGACAAACACCGTATTAGTCAGTAGTAATAAATTCCGCAAGTTGGACTAATCTTTTTGTACGTAATAAGTGGCATTGCAAGCACCTAACATACCAACCTTGCCTGACTTGCCATATTGCCATCATTACTTTGGGTACTCCCGAAGTAAACCAATATGGCGGACACCGGAACCAAGTATGTGTACCAGGTTATGGTGAGGCCATAATTTCAGGTACAAATACTACGGGTGTCACTTGGCTATTCCCCGAACTCGTAATAGACCTAAAATAAGGAAAATTGAAATAAAATTATGGTACACACATACTGTGTTCTGGTGTCCGCCATCTTGGTTCACATACTTCGGGAGTACCTTACTTTGTTATGAGAGCATGACAAATAAATTTTATTCACAGAAAGTATTCAATACTGACCTTTTTTGAACATGCCCATCAAAGCAAGTGCAGAATCGCCTCCTTGTTGACTGTTCTGAGCGAGAGTTCTGAATCCTTCCTCAATTACTGGCTCTGAGTTTGAACATGCGATTTCAGTTTGGGAGGGGGTAGTAACTGTCTCTAGTTGTTCGGTTTGAAATTCATTTTCTTGGTAAACTTTTACCAATGTCTGTGTAAGGGTGTTGGTTTGTTGTAGTATATTTGTCTGGGTGTCGTTGTCGTAAGATCTCTTTTCATCAGTTTGCACGTATATGTCAGTAATTGGTAATCCCATGTATGGCTCACGTATACTTATGCCGGGCATTGTTTGAGTGTCCATATGTTGTGTATAATGGTCTGTCTGTGCATGCCTGCCTCTTGTGACGGCTTTGTCCGTCTCTGTCTCTGTGTCGTCCATTTGTATCTTGTCTGTTTGATTCATTCTATCTCTTTTCAGTACTACCAAACTGGTTTGTATAGCGGAATCGAACGTTGGTCTTAGAGATGGATCTCGAAAATATAAATTGTTTTCTTAATATGAATTAAAAATTCAGCGATCTGAAATTAACCCGGTATTTTTTCTCTGCTATAAAGGTAAAATATTTGCAGTCAAAAATCTAAAAATTACCTAGAACAACTGCGAGTTGCCCAAAATTTCGATCTCAACTCTTCTGTCTGTGACAGTTTGACATTTGCAATGTCTTATTGCTAAATTTGAAACACTGGACTCCAGCTCCCAGATATTAGACCTTCGAGAAATTTATAATCTACTCCAACTAGTTCAAAAGTTCGGATACCGGGGAGGGGGGGGGGGGGGGGGGGAGGGGATCTCCACGGAAAACATAGAATTCTTCCTGCACTTCCTATTCTTCCTGCACTTTAATAATAATTAGGTGGAAATTACCACCCTGTAACAAAAACAGGATCATCCATTGTTATTACCATCAAATTTAACTAACTTTATCAGCAACTCTAGCAATTTTTAAAAGGACTTTGGCCCCCCTCTGAAAATGTTACTGTGGCCCGGCAGTGGGCCATGGCCCACCGGTTGAGAACCAGTGCTTTAGACCCACTAACCTAGTGGGCATGAATATTAGATGTGGGGTCGCAGGAATGGGCTTCCGCCAAATACACGCTTGTGGCTGTAGTGAGCTAGTGGGCATCTTAATACTGTGACAAAACTTACCGATATTCGAGAGCATCATCGTTCTTTCTTGTCGTCTCGCACGCGATACGGCATGCCTCGATTCACCAAACTCTCTTTCACCATCTGAAGATAGATAAACAAGATATCGCTATAAAATTTAATTCCATTTAAGCATTTTTATGTTAAAATTTTTCATTATTTATTCACAGAGTTTGCCCAAATGCAGTGACGTAATTTTTGGATGACGTAATCAGGTGGGGTCAGGAAAGACATATGCAAAAATTGTACGCCACGCCCACTACAATACTAGAAGTACCTGTGATAACAAACTATACTAGACCGAGGAGCAGTAGCCTTTCTCAAGTTCAAGCTTCGTTTATGATATGGTTTTAGAGAAATTGTTGGTAAAATATGTTGTTTTGGCTTTCGTGCCCATATATTTGAGCATTGTTCTGTTGTTGTTTCATCTAGGAGATTTACTTGACGCAAAAATACTTGATTACTTACATCAGCGTTTCCCAAACTGTGTTCCGCGGAACACTAGTGTTCCGCGAGCGTCCTTCGAGTGTTCCGTGGAAAATGAATCAAAAATACATCTAAATGGGTCGCCATGGCGATCTAGCGATTGTGAAGTTGTCGCCAAACTGACCTTTCAATACCGCGTTACCGTCGGCCTAAAGCGGACTAACTAAGGTAGGGTAGTGGCATTTTCGTTAACTGTCGTCATAGCTTTTTATCAAGTTTGCATCAATCCTTTCGGTTTTGCTATAGATAGGCAAACAAGTAGGTATAATGAATGAAGGCAAATGGTCAACTCTTTTTCCGCCATCTCTGCCTGGTTTTACTTTGAAATACTGAAAAAATTACTCATGTTCGCTGAACTCGATAAAGCAGATAAATAAACTGCAGATCGCGTAGTTGCAGCAAGTACGTTTATCTCCATTAGACGTAACATTAGAGGCAAACACTGCGTAATAGAAAGTAAACGACGTAGAAAGGCAAAATAAATTTGTTGATTCATATACACAGCATTTAAATTGAGAAGCAATAAAACATTTATAAAAAATGAAATATGTAAAATATTCAATCATATTTTAGGTATGTTTAACACAATTCTGTTAGTTTCAACTCGCCACGACGAACCCATTGGGAACCGCTACATTGCACTGCTTTTTTTTTATCAATTTTACCCTTTCATTTTTTGGTGTTCCGCGAGGCGAGATAAAAAGTGTAAGTGTTCCGCGGCCGAAAAAGTTTGGGAAACTCTGACTTACATAAATCTTTCGGTATTGTAAGTGATGGGTCTTCAACGAATGAAGAAGACGATTCGTCTGTATCTCTGTGTTCTCGTAATTGAGTTATTACTGTGGGTATTTCTTGCTCAGCTTCGTATCGATCTGTGGAAAAGCAGGAAAATATTAATGTAATACAGATACAAGAAAAATTCAACAGAATGGCATTTTGTTATTCAGAACCAAAAGGTCGAAACTCGGCATGTTAATCTACTATCGAGTGCAATACGTGTAGAAGGTGAAGAAACAAATCTCACACAATCGTTACGCTATTCTGGGTCTAATCGCTTGCTACAGGGCATGCATACTCGTAAGATGGACATATATATATGCTTCTCTCTGGCAAAATCGTTTTGTTTCAATATTCTCATAAATGGCTATTTGATAAACTCATGATTTATGGCAGATAGTTCAAGTTACTATTAGATATGGATTACCACTCCTCACTAATTGTACAATTTTGTTAGGCAATTTATTTGCGTCTTTTAATCATCCTTTTTGCTTTATTGACATAAGTACGATAATGCCAAAGTAAATTACCTTCTCGCCCGACTCTTGAACTTTGAACTCGACTACCCCGGAAGTAAGAGTACATTCCATCATCCAATCGACGTGGTTCTCGAAATGACCTCTGTTGCCTTTCAGTATGACCTACAAAGTTTATAGTATTCTTTTAGGTATATGTTGTGTCCTATGGCGAGTTTGCTATTTTGGTTCACATAATATAATTTGACATATGATGGGATAGGATTTACATATTTATCCCGGGAAAAAGAAAGCCGATTAGACAGTTTAATCATATGGGGAACCGATTCTTCTTGGCCGGTTATCAGTCCATGTCGGGTATGGGATTAGTTAGCTAGTTATTTGTTTTCGAAAGCATGGTGAAGGAAGCCGTATCAGACCAGCGGTTGCGTGAGCCACCCCACGGTGGCGAGAAGTTTATCAATCCGCTCGCACATAACTATCCCCGCATGAGATTCAACACTGCGAACCCACGTAGGGTAATTGGAGGTGTGGTTGCGAGCGTATTCCTACTGCTTAGCACGATGTGCCACATCGCAGTTTATGCCCCGATACAAATTGATAATATCACGGTATCAAACCCTTTCCAGTAATATTAAACATTGCAAAACGACATCAGAATACGCAAAAGTTAAAGTACATATAGACCTATTACGTCAAAAAAAAAATTTGTCCGAAGCCTCGTTTCAAGCGATTGTAAGCACAAAAATATTGGTACTAACGATTGGTTTCTTGTTTCAAACGTATTTATGACAAAAAAGTGACAAGTACCAAATACTGGTGGAATGTTTCAAACTTTTTCGTGCCAAAAAACGTGTTAGAGCAAAAGCTTTCGGAATACGCCCTTTTTCCTGTTCGTGAGCGAGGTAAAATTTGAGTCGTGTTGATGATTTGTTGTTGTGAAAAATCTATTTTCTCGATTAACCAATAGACCAAGCGATTTCAAATTTTTAGTACAGAAGATAAAAAAATTGGTATTCGTATTGTATGTGAACCAAGATGGCGGACATCGGAACGTAGTATGTGTACCAGGTTAGGGTTAGGCCATAATTTCAGGTACATATACTACATATACTACGGTCACTTGGTTAGTCCCAGAACTCGTAATAGAACTAAAATAATGAAAATTGGAATAAAGTTATGGCCTGACCTTCACCTGGTACACCTGGTAGATTTTCTGTGCATGTCGGGTACTTTACGTGGATTATTCATTTGACATCCGTGCCCTATTTTGCATTGCTCTTCTGCTATATTAAACAAACCTGGTTCTCTTGTTTCAAATTTCTTCGCCAAACTTTGTACTGAACGAGTGGGGAATGCGGAGTGAGGTTCGTCTCGAAACGATTCATAGTAGCTTGGAGGGGGTTCTTGCGGCTGAGGTGGGTATCTTCGCGACCTTTGACCTGTAGTAAAAACACGATTAATCCAGACTCGATAAGAGCGGTGAGAAATCGGATTAAAACAACGGATCAATATTCTACCCTAACCACCAAACCTAATTTTCAGCATTCCACATACAGATTCACAAATCTATAATATGTGTTGCAGAGTGGAAACCATGAAGTGTGATCTCAAATAGATTATCATATAATATTTATTTCATATATAATAACAGCAACTTAGAACGTAACTTGTGAAAGAACACTTTCATATACAGGAATTTAAAGAGTAAACATCTTTGTTTAAAGTTCTCACCAATTAACCCTGGTTCTCTTTCACGGGCATGGTGATCATATATGGGTAAATACCCTCGCCTTCTTCCTATTTCCGATCTGTCTCGATTTCTCGCCAATGATGTTGAAGACATGGGAGGAGGTCGATCGCTTCTATAACCTGTAAATAAAATAGAACATTAGAGACATTAGACTAAAAGTTGGTACAAAATTTACCTTCGATTAATCTTATTATCGAGTTTTTACATCCAACTTCGTTCTGATTCAAAATTTTAACAGTTTCGTGAATAAGGGTGAGAATTTATATATATTTAATGTTAATTCCTAACGAAACTATATAAGCGTAACACCACGCATTTTTAGTATTAAAATCAAGACAACAGCTATTACAATCAACATATTTCAATCAATTGATTAGCAGTTGTTGCCATGGCAACGTGTTTACGTTAAAATTCATATTCGAGCTATTTCTCGATTTATGAAGCTTCCGTCGTCTTGGACACACGTCATGATAGTTCTTTTTTGAGAAATAAAATACTAAAATATATATAGAACACATCACTGTGTTAAGTAGTAAAATGTGTTCTTCAAATGGAAAAACTCAACGAAAATGACGTCATAGTTTGCGACAAGTGACGTCATAATACTGTTTTAGAGAGGAAGTTCTCAATAATAATACTCTTCATAGTAAAAAGTTGAGGAATAAAGATTTTAATATGGTTCGTTATGGCATACTGCGAATAAGTCATAGTATTGATTTTATGAGTGACATGAATAATATTTGAAATGGAAAACATATGATGTCATTCCATGCAATATGTTACCTAGTAAGCTGAAAGTAAGACATGGTATTTATTTAATAGGGAAATATATTTATATAAAAAAATGAACAAAGAAAATGCTACGTCATAATGCGTTTCAGATTACCTCATAATATTGAAAAAGTGGGGTAAAAATATTTTGAAAATAAAAAATATATATACCGTATTTTCCGGCGAATAAGTCGCTTTTCTAGACCCACATTTTTGGCCTGATTTTTGGGGGGTCGTCTTATTGAGCGAGTATGATCATTTTCATTTTTTTGGTGTCGTCTTATTATTAAATCCGGACAATAAAATACATTCGGCGATAGCATCTTCCACGCCCTCATTAGGTTAGTTCAAATAAATCGACATTCTCGCGCTGTGAATCTGGAATTTCAATGCTGTGATTATCATATTGGAAGTTGTCGCATTTGTATGGCTATTACCAATACACGTTGGATTGCAATTTGTGAAAATCACCAAGTGTTTTTGTCATCGTGATGTCTTATTTGAGCATTTAATCTCCCTAATTCAGAAATTTGCAGCGAGGACAACGATAATTACTTTATTGCTCTCAAACAACCATGGCACTTGTGTTGTGAGATACGAGTTATCACATAATCATGTGTTACAAGATGCTAAGATGAATAAAAGAGTGAAAATGTAACCCAATTTTTTTTTAATACATAATCATGTGTGACAACAAGATAAGATAAATAAGGAGTGAATACATGACCCAAATTTTCTTGATTTAAAATGTAATGTGAAATGTAAAATACTAAAGATAAAACGGAAACACCATTTGAATTTTATTTAAGGATGGCCCGTGACAGATTAAAGATGGTTTTTAGACATTGCAAATCACAAAAACATTTTTTGTTCTACAATTTCCGACAGGGCCAGACGCGACTATGCTATGTGTAACTGTATAATACAGTAATTACGGTAATGTAAAGTATATTTAATTCATTTTTTTGACATAAATTTACTCGGTGGGATATTATCACTGACTTACGGTTTTCCTACCGTAAAACCCTCAAGAACAACATATAATCCCAATTAAATCAATGAAGGAACACATTTCGTTTTGTGGAGATTTCGAGGTGATGAATATGTATGTTTCATATAAACACCTTATATGTATATTTATTTATTAAAACTAAATATAATCAGGTAGTTTATCTTGCATTATTATGTCCGCAGATTGCTGCGTTATTTTAGATCGGTAATGTTCTTGTATGGCGGACGCAATCGCGAGTTGAACACAATTAGATTGAAATTGAAAGACAGTTTGAAATCCGGTAGTTGTTATGAATTGAATATTACACTACAGGAAAACGTCATTATAGGCTATTTTAACCAATGCGCCAACGCGGCGACCGCTCAAAAGACATTGCAGGGTAATTTAAGATTCCGATGTTGACGAGATTTTACTACCCCGATTTATTGGCCGGTTATATGCAAAAACTCATTTATTCAGGCTTAAAATCGGGCGTCGTCTTATTCGCCAGGTAGACTTATTCGCCGGGAAATAAGGCATATAACGAAATATATAACGTCACAGTGTTCTACAAGTGATGTCATAGACATATAGCAACGAAAGTGCATGTCGTGGTATGTGGTAAATGCCGTGATAACATTGTTTCGATTGTCGTCAGGATCATTATTTCAATATAAAAAAAAAATGAAATAGAGTGGTGTTGTGTGGTGACTTGAAAGTATTAAGAAAGAGATGTAGAGAATTTTTGGAAATCAAAAAATAGAAGGAAAAGTATACAATGAGATATTTAAAAAAACACTAACCATGGATTTGTAAGATTATAAAACGGCCGAATACAGTTGGATCATCGGATACCAGTTCCTGTGGCTACACTGACTATCCTGTAATCTTTAAATGCAATATTCCTCTCGCACAAAATGAAATAGGAGATTTGAACCTGCGAGCAATGCATGCTAATCTAGAGGTTGTGAATACATATGCGAGTCGAACAATTTTTTATGAAAGTAACAACTGCAAAAAATAATAATACAAGCCGGTGGGCGCCCAGTTGGATCTCCGCCATTGCTTGAGGCCCGCATCATTTCAGTTTACTAACGGATACTGGGAGACACTATCAAAAACGCCAGTTCATTTTGAACGCTGCGCGTTGCGCTGAGTTCATTTCAAACGCTGCGCGTTGCGATGAAATACTCGCGTGACTGATATGTGGCTAAAAATAAATAGAAAATGTTCACTCAAATCCCTAAGGATTCTCCAGTTCTAAAGTATCGAGATCAAAGATGACTTATTGGAAAGAGTATTTTGCTATGCGGAAGGTAGAGTTCTTAGAATTTTAATTTTCGACTTGGTAGTCGAGAAAACGGCGATCAATTGTGAAAAAAGTGGAAATTTCATAACGATCAGCGCGTTTTATGTTGTTACCATGGAAACAAAACCCATATCCGAACTTTCTACAAAACGCATATTACAAGAGTGACAGGTAACCCGCATGAAAAATTTCATTCAGAAGGGTACAGATAGACAGACAGACAGACAGACAGACAGACAGACAGACAGAATGGCTGATAGTAAGGGTCTCCTAGAAGCGGAAATCCAATAAATTGATATATAGAATTGCCAACCTCCCACTGCGCCCGAATCTTCGGTTTCATTCGATTGGTCATCTTCGTCACTGAGTACCGGAGGAAGCATCAATGGTTGGTGGGATGATCCGCGAGCTGTAAATTATTAAAAACGAATATGTGCAACTGTAACAGATGGGAATTAAATGGGATTCTTGCATACCCGCTGTAGCCTTCACTCCTGTTGCAAATATAATTTTATTTATAATATCCCTTGCTCATGAATGTATCGTTTGGAATGATTAGGCTCTGATTTTAATATCATACAATAATATGTTTCAGCAAAGCCTGACAGTTCGATAAACTACGACATTATTCACAATTGAGACCCAATTGATTGTAATAGACTTCTACATAGAGAAAATAAACGCTTATAACAACTATAATCTTGTACCTTTTGAACGATTTGGCCGTTCCTCTCGTCCGTGCCATCCCATGTCTGGCCTCGACGGTGGCGCACCGATTGATGAGAGCAATCGTCGTGACGACGGTCTATTTGGTGGAGGTAGAGCTGTGATATTGAAATATTGATATTGATATAGTATTTCGATTCTGGATGGCTTGAGATAGTGTCAGAGACCTCAATTTTTGACGCTCCAGATATATGTGTACTAATTTTGTTCGCCTATTTTACATCTAGTTGTGTAAAGGGACTGAAACCTATGGGTAGGGAGTATATTCACTTGGCTAACACAGACAGTCCCGGAACTCGTAATAGAACTAAAATACACATACAAATACTACGTGCATGCCCAATTTTTATCGAGGAAAAATAGTCAAATATATGTGTTTGTAGGCGAAAGTGACGTCAAACTATTTTTTAATCGACGCTTTGTACATTTCAAAAAACGAATATGGAATAAGGAACATGTAGCGTTTCAATACGTGACAAGTGATGTCATAGATATGCTCTAATGGGCATTTTTAAATACTTGATTACTCAAATACAATGTGACGCCACAATGTTTGAATCGTCTAAAGAAAAGTGATGGGCTCATAGTAATAATAAAAAGATGACGTCATAGATCGAAACCCCCACTATTCGAATAGGAATGTGATGAGCATTGTAAAAAAATATGTGCAAAGAAAATGAGCTAATTAAAAACACACTGATTTCATAGCAGGCAATATATTACGTCATAATTGGCGAAAAATAAATCATAGTACCGTTTTGTTACAACAAAAAATGAAAAAAATAAAATCTGAAACAAAAATGTGACGTCAAAATGTTCTGTTAGTGATTTCATAGTACTGAACTAAGAAACAAGATTCATGCTAATATAAAAAATAAACAAGCAAGATGTAACATCACGTTGTTGACAAATATGATTCACTGTATGCAATGTGTGATGTCATAGTGGATGGGGTAAATAATTTAGTAAGGAAATTTATGTTTGAAAAAATAAGGCGATATAACGTGCTTGAGATTGTGTCATATTATTTTAAAGAGCAAAAACTCTTAAAAAAAATTCAGGATGAGAAATGTGACGTCACGGCGCTCTACGTCATATTAGACATCCAAGAAACTAGATGAGCATTTTTTAATGTGAAAAATAAAATAGAAAATATGGTGTTATAATGTCCGAAAATTGACGTCACAATACTGAGGTAATGAGGTTTCAAGTATTGCTCAGTATCCAGTAGGTAGTTCTATAGTATTGTTTTATTGTAATCCCCAATGACGTCATATTATTGTAGTAGGAAAATGAGTTATTTAAAAACATCAAATTAATAAATATTGTTTGTTCAAGCGAACTGAGAAGTCAACATTAATAATATCAAATTTTTTTTAAATCGGATGTAAAATTAGTGTTGGTTTATTTTTTTCTAATGCAGGTAATTGAGTAACTTTTGCGATTAAGCGCTATCAACAATTCCAAAGTATGAACGAACCTTTTTCTCTACAATGACGATTTTCTTTCCTTTTTGAAAATATCGATAATTGCTCTCGAAGTTGCGGATCAAGTTCTGTTGAGGATGGTTCACCGCCTGTATGCAGAAACATGAATGATATAAATGAGATTTTTATATATTTTGAGTTACTAAAATTATGAAAGTTGAGGCAGGGAATTAGAGTAATCATATAAAATGGGATCCATTGTATATACTGAATAAGGGTAGATATAAAACTCTGAGCAATTGTTAAAATAATCATATTGAATGGGATTCATGGTATGTTCTGAGTTAGGATAGAGATGGCGCTTTAGCCAAATACCAAAAGTACGCATATGAATTGTGATTCGTGGTAAAAGTGATTCTTGGGCTCAAACCAAGAATTTTATTTTGAAATCACACAAACTAGCTGTTTGTTGCATATTCACTTAATTGCCATGATTGGTAACACATTAACCTCATTACTGACCTTCTGCTGTACCTAAAGATGATCCGAAACTTTCAGCCTCATACGACAGGGGCTGCTCTTCGGCGTTGGGTGACGAAGGGAGAATAGGGGGCTGAATTGATTCTTCTTGTCCTGCGAAAAGACCGAGTTCGACCGATTTTGCCAAAACTTTTACAATAATACGCCAAGGAAATACAAAACATAAGTAAAAATAACATGATCTTTCTCAACAAAATAATAGGTATATTTGTGAGCTTTCGTTAGAACATGGTCTACTCTAATTTCTTCAAACAATACAAGATAAACTGTAAATATAAGGGCCAAAATAATTTAGTCTATAATTGGAGCAAACTCAGTTCCAGCCCAACCTTATCAGTTACACCGGCTGTTCTAAACGGACCAAATTGTCCCATCCCCCATAACATCTACATCCAGTTATAGGGTACAATTATAGATTAATTCTTATGATCTTTATATTTACAGTTATATCTAGTATTGTTTGAGGACGTTAGACCAGGGTCGTCCAACCTTTTTAGCCGAAGGGCCACATGTAGTTTACTAATAATTGCGCGGGCCACTAAACATGGCATTATGTTCTATTTTTGCTACACTGATTACAGGTTATTGAAAATACTTCAAAAATATTATACCAATAAAACTGTTGTTCCCCAATCATTGATGGGGCGCCATCAGTAGTTATTTCCGAAAGTTTCGCCAAAGACATGCAAAGACGCACGGTCTTTTTCATCACAGCTCCCAACAGACCAATACCTCTAATCGAACCCTTAATAGGGACAATGACCGCGAGCTCTGCGGTAACTTCAAAATCATTATTAACTCCCCGCAAAAAGATCGCCCACTGAGCAGTAACCTTGATGTCAGTGCTCATAATAATATATTACACAATATACATTCTCAATCTGAGAATGGCTTCGTTTGTTTAGCGATAACGTTATATAGAGTAGTAACAGACCAAGTGTGTAAGCGGCTATGGCATCTTTATTTATCGATATATCCTCCCAGTTGTTTCGATTCAAAATGGCACTAATGGCTAGTTTGAAAGAGCTGGCAGAGTGCATTTCAGGAAAATGAACAAATCGTTTGTATCACATCTTTGTATATTACATCACTCGAAAAATAGATTTACTTCAATTTTTTTCATTTAATTCTGAAAAATACAGCGCGGGCCACTCGAAATGCTTCCACATATGGCACGCGGGCCACGGGTCGGACGACCCTGCGTTAGACCATGATCTAACGAAAGCTCACAAATATATATACTTATTATTTTGTTGAAAGAGGTCATGTTATTTTTACTTATCACTTTAATATTATCTCGTTCAAGCATCCTTGTGGCAAATACCACATACGGATTTGAAGTAGAAAGTAAACAAGGAAAAAGGACCTTCAGTTCAATACACAATATCCAAGTTCCCGAAATACAAAACGTTGTCGTTACGAATAGAACGATGTTTTAACGTCCGTCTGTGGGGATGGAACGATTGTAAATCGGCGGAAAACAGATGAATCGCCGGTCTACTATATTAGGCCCACCCTACAACAGCAGTTTTTGCAAAAAATGACTAAAAAAGAAAAAGCATTTGCGAGTCAACGCATGGGAATTAACAGTGCAATGCAAGGGAATGTCTTGAAAACATTTATCTTCTTGAGTGACAAAAGGCAAAATTTATATCTGGGTGAATTTTTTTATAAATGTTACTATACTGTAGGAATAAATGTTTGCAATCAGGATCTAAAATTACCGACCTTCCACTTCTCCTAAACCTTCGTTTTCATTCGATTGCTCTTCTTCGTCGCTGGGAACCGGTAGAAGCCCTAAGGGTTGGCGCGATGATCCACGAGCTGCCAATAAAGAAGGAATCATTATTCGCAAATTATATTGAACAGAATTAATAGGTTACGTGCTTTTATTTAATGTGCAATTATCAGTTCCAATATAATATTTCCAAAACAATTATTAGTTTTGTTCGGGGCAAGTTATCTAAATGTTCTTCAGTTATGAATGCCTTTAGAATGTGAACATTGACAAATTCAAAGGTTTACTAAAACGGAGACATAGAGCGTTAAACGCTTGTGAAATATTCATTTATCAAGCCTAAATTCACATTATGCTGCACAACAATTATGTTCTTCTCAAGTACCTGAACGAGTTGACCGTTCCTCTTGTCCGTGCCATCCTAGGGCTGGTCTGGACGGTGGCGCACCAAGTGCTGAGAGCAATCGTCGTGACGACGGTCTATTTGCTTGAGGTGGGGCTGTGATATCGGAAAAAATATATTGATATATGTGTACCGATATGGAGGTAATTAATTTTGTTCGTCTACTTTACATCAAATTGTGTAAAGAGACGGAAGCTATGAATAGGGATCATATTCACTTGGATAACAGTCCCAGAACTCGTATTAGAAATAAATACACATTTTTTATGAAGAAAGGACTGGCGTCTGAGTTCAAGTCCTCAACTAGCAATCTCAAGATCACTAATAGACTAGGACAGGGGTGGGCAACCTTTCTTGGCTCGCGTGTCGAAATCGACTAAATTTAACAGCAAAATTCTTCCGCTTGCCGACCAAAACTATGAACAGTTCTTTGTTAGTTTCAACGCGAAAATACACAATAATAAACCTTTCGAACATGTACAGACAGATTCACTATTCGGGAAAATAGATTTTATTAATTTCTTATTATACACCAAGGAGACTTCTGCTGCTGCATCACCGCCGATGTAGATTTTACATGGGATTTATATTTTGTAACTTTCAAAGAAATACAATGTCTATTGGTTTCATCTTTCAGGCTACTACTGTTACGAGACTTAATAAAGTTCATAACTGAGATCCACAAGTATATGTAGTTGAAAACATGGAGAGTAATGCAGTTGAAAAGTTTTTGAGGCATGAAACATTGTCGGGAATGGCATCTCAATCACGCTTTAGTTAATCGCTTATATTTTTTTCCGAAATCAATTTATAACAGTAAGTTAGCAAGTAACTCAAACCAACATGAACTCGGCAACTTCATAAATCAAACAGAAATGAACAAACAGGGTGGCACAGACGAACTATAATACCGTACGTAAGAATGTAGCAAACTAAATCGTGCGCTCTTCTCGACAAAATTTCTCGAAAGCTCACTCATTTGTTACGCCATAATTAAATTCTTTGTTGCCATATGTCATGAAAGGACAAAAATAGTTTAGATAAATAACAAACAAGTATTAACAAACGATAATGAATAAACGAACACCGAGTTTCATCAGATAATTCAGACTCTTGAAACTTTTTAACTCAAGTCAAATTATTTTGTTTCCGAGGCCTCGCTCGCGTGCCGAATAAATGGGCTAGCGTGCCTAGTCCGGTACGCGTGCCAGGGGTTGCCCACCCCTGGACTAGGATGAGGTTATAACTATTTATAGATTTCCTCTTACAACAATGACGTCGTTAAGTAATAATTGGAAAGGAATTTAAAATATTTCAAGGCAACATGGGTAATAAAAAGTTAGTTGGGAAAAAAAAAATGTCTACTTATCAATTTTAAACAATTCTTTTATGGTTGCAAAATAGTTAATAGAAAGGAAGCATTTATATCAGAGGCTATTTTAAAAATTTGGTACAAGATTTACCTCCGATTGATCTTATCTTCGAGTCTTTTACATCCATCTTCGTCCTAAAGAAAAAAGTTGACAGTTTCGGGAATAAGGGTGATGATTTATATATATATGTAGCCTAGACGTTACCCTATGTATTTTATTCCACTTTTTATTCTCTCGTGGCTATACTTCACACCGTATTCAACTTAGAACGCAATCAACAAATAGGCTATTGAATATCAGGTTGATAACGAATTTGGAATATTAATAAAATATTTTATAGCTTAGTTTATACCAAAAAAAAGCAACCAACTAAATTAACTTAGTATACGTACCCACTTATTTCGCCTTTGAATTCGCCTTTATAAACAGGGCCGGTGTTGTAGTGTAATGTTCTTTGTTGGTTGTAATGATAGTGTTTATTTATTACAGTTATATTTTCTTTTCTCCTAGGTTCTGATGCCTCTCGCACCAAGGAACCTGGGACAGGGCCTTCGTCTGGAGGAGCAGGCTCTGGTGCCTCTTCAGGTCCAATGTCCTCTATGATAGGTTGCCTCCCAATCGCTCCTCTTGGTTGAGCATGTTCTTCTTGCTGTAAATCCGGGATATCGGGTTGTTGAGGATGACCCGGAAGTTCAACTTGAGCAGCTGGGGGTGAAGGGTCACCTTCACTCGAATCGGAGGAAATATTTGGTTCTGTCATCATTATATAAACCTTAGGATGCAAAAAAGCATTAGCAAGCGTTATAAGACATTACAAAACTCTTTTTCATAAGTTGCCTTCGCCTATTGACATGCATAGAAAATGTTGCGACCTTTGTTTCAAACAAGCCTTCAGAAATCGGTCTTTCGATAAGTGATAAGTTGAATATAGTAATATCCTATAAAATGATCTTTATTATTTTAGATCAGTCGCTACGTGTATTTAGACTTGTTCGTGAATCACTCAGCGGCCGATTTCTTGTATAAGTATATGAATATGATTACAAACAATATTTCAATTTGTCTAAATAGATCCCAAGCCTATTCTTGACAGTAAACTTGATCATTTACATTACAAACCCATTATCTGAACTTCACGATGAGAGAAGATAAAATACCAATCTCAAAATATAATTTCTATTTCAAAAATTGCAAAATTATTTACAAATATGACATAATGTTTTCTTCTGAGCCCAAACTTAAAATTTGTAGCCCAGCTTCGTTCATCGTTGCTGGTTAACTACTGTTTTCTGTCGAATGAAATGCCAACTCATTTGTGGGAAAGGCAAAAAACACACGCGGCTAATTGCAGTGTTCCCTTCATGTTGGAATCAATATAATACGGTATATATCAGACTTGAACTTCTCCAGACAACTAATTCTTCGCCGATAGGTTGAGAAGATTGTTTTATGATTTTTCGGCAATAAATCATACCAAACTTTGGTCTAGAAATGAAATCCTAATAATTTTACAAACTATATGAACGCAGATCTATTCGACCTCCATCTATGTCCTTACCTGTATTCTTTGACTAAAACAAAAAGCTTCCCTGACGCGCCGTTAACAATACTACGTTGAAACTTGATATTTGTTTACATTCTTCTTCGAAGTCTGTTTCGAACACACGTGTGTACCAAGCATGAATGCAGTTAAACTATTGCCGACTCGTTTATGTATCTTTGGCCCATGGTATATCTCAAATGTTTTCAAGGTAGTCTGCTTCATATCATATACTTCAAGATTTTGATTTGTATAAGTATCTTCAGCTCATGTTAATTCAATGAGATGCTGAAAACTGTAGCGATTTTAGAATGTCAGTATCACCGATAACGTGAGATTTGAGAAAAACTGTTGGGGATTTTGTACAAAAAAGCTATGTTTCACACCTTCAAATTGCATTCTTTATATTTTTGAAAAGTGTCCCAACAGGGATCTACAAAAAAAATAACATACATAGTCTCGCAATTATAGACGTAGACGCCGACATTTGGGCATACGAATTTTGCCTCTATGTATGTCGCTAATTTTAGAATGCCATTATCACCGATCTCTCAAGATTACAGGAAATACAAAAGAAACGAAAATCTCCTCTTCATGATCTCAGATACTCTTTTCTACAAGCTCACCCAAATTAGGTTTGGCGGAAGGGGGACTCGAAGCAAGATGTTTCAGTTGGCGAGGGTTGGCACTTGGCAGCCCACCTATTTTTGGAAATGAACCCTTTAGCTGCTACGTCTAACTTAACAATTAGAAATTTCATAATCGCTCTTTGCAAATTCCTGGTTACTGCCTTGGGTTTACCTTAAAATCAATCTTTACATTTTCAAATACGCAAATTTACTTTTCTTTTTCAATATTAATATTATAAATGAAATTAAAAAAATGAATTTATAATCACAAAAGGGTATACTTTATTTTTGTACGCCACGGCTTCCGCTTAACCAGCCCTGCTGACGAACGACGAAATAGGACTGACGCCGAATGTGGCTAACGCGTCGGGGATAAATGAGGAATTCATCCACACTATTATTATCATTTATTAATCCATATGAAAAAGGTCGAAAGAGTGTCCACAGGAGGCAATCACCAGATTTTGGCTCTATTGTTAATTCATAAAGCCACCGAAAATTTCCCGGTGATGTGTTATATTGAAATGCCCGAGGTGTAACCGAGGTATAAAGTAATACGATCGGGATTATGGAAACGGCCTCCACACGCCCACAAATGCCACGTGGTATCAAATCTATTCTCTATTAATAAAAAGACGTCCAGACACAACTCAAATCGTAGCCGTATTGCCTAAAGCTCAATGCTAGGACATTATTACGGGTATTTGCCGTAACACTGGTCATAAAAAACTGACCTCGTAATTGGAAACTCGTTAAAAAAGGAAATACTTCACTCGAAAATAATACAAATGTTACGTCTGATAATCGACTATAGTATGAATAAAGACTACCATACCATACCGTCTTGTTTTAAGATGAAAACTCAAAAATTTCATAATTTCTTGAATAAACGAAAATTAAAAAATTTACTTGCATTCGGACGTCTGATTGTGTGTGATTGTACTTAAAAGTTTAAGTACTGAAATCTATGGCGCTTTGAACAGAAGTTCTCTCTAGATTCTAAAATCTATTCCATTTGACCTGGATCTGTTTTCAGGTCACGCTGTCCATATCCTAAACTATAGCACTCATTTATCGATCAGGAAGCAAGAATCAGCGACACAATAAACAAACTGGAACAGATCGAGAACAACCAAGTCCTGCAAGGCCGTCAATTGATGCTCACACGCCAATGTAATAACGGCACATCGCGCGCGAAGACTAGTGATAATAATACCTGGAGTAAAGCATAGGAGCCGCGAATCTTCTCAACTTTGTGAAAATCTATACTTTCCAAGTTTCCATAATGATGACTGGCAGGGCCGGCCTTGACTATCGCGAGCGTCTGTGTAAAACGGATTGTGCGGATCGCAGATTAGAGATGAAAATTTTACATTTTTTTACTTTTAAGTACAAAGGCAATATAATAAAATCACTTTACAACACGAACCTCAATACCAAAGCATAAACACGCTGACCTATAGAGGATTAGAATTCATAATGGTTGAATTTAAAAATTTTCATCTTAGATTAGCGCGAGGCTCACGGACATGTGTGAGTTGGCCTAAGCAGTGGCTTTCAAACTTTTTAGGCAGCGCCTTCTTTTTTAAATTTTGTCTCGCGCGCCAATATCCAAAATAAAGAAATTTAAATATCCAAAATAAAGCGGGCGAGATCAAATCTAACAAATATTTTTATTTTTAATCAATTGGCTTCACGCCCCCTCAAAAATTGCCTACGCCCCCTTTGTAGGGCGCGCCCCTCCCCCTCCCCAGACTGTCGTAAAGTCAGCAGCCCTGGTGAGTGCTGCGGAAGATACACAGCGGAACCAACATTGATCATGCTTAGTAAGTATCATATGCTTAATTGAATATCTCAAAAGTCTTTTTGAATGCCCAACCATGGAAAATGTTTGAAAGCGATTATCAATATTCAATAACTGAATACACGGACACTCGTACATGAATGTTCTCCCTTTGTCAGCAAAGACCGGAGACGACCGATGATGATTGACGTTCACTGTAGTTCTAAGAGCCGAAGTTATATAAACTATTGGAACAAACTCAGCAATTTGTTTAGATAGTGATTCTTCATTTTGGAATAAGAGTGTGCCGTGTTTCATATATATTTACTAATTTAATTATAATACCAACACTCCCTGCCATAAGAGAGAGTACTTTCCTATAGCGACAAAGCATTTTCTTCGATAATTGATGCGGAATATACTTCTTGGCGGTTGAGATCGATATAATCTTTAAGCGAGACGAATCAGGGTTAATAATGAGGGATCGAGAGACTATGTTCCAATGTACCCGGGACTGGTTATTGCTACGTGAAATGTATACAAATGATTATCAACTCCAAAATGCCCTGTGATATTGAATCCTACAACGCCATAATTAAGCGCTGTCAGTTACAGTTTAGGATTGTCTAATAACGAATTGTTAATACTGGAACAGTATTCTAGTTTCTGAAGACATGTAAAAAGTTCGGTAATTTACATATCCTTCCAACAGCTCGGCGGGATACGAAGCGATGGGACGGCGGCAGGCGCTGATTAGGAACAGCTGTCGTGCGGATCATGGGTCGCCGATTGATAAAGTTATTTAGTAGTGTACGACAATAAACATGACGTATTTGTTTTTGTTTACTATATTTTCGTCATCAACTCTCGGACACAGCTTAAAGAGGCGATGTTAACGACGGTTTTTCGTGATTTCGGCAATTTATATATTTGGTTTCGAAGAGTTTCGCTTTCGCTTATGTCATGTCTATAATGTTATTCATGACGAGAAACAGTACGTAAATATTGTCTAAACGTAAACTAAAACATCGTGACGTGTCGGAATTTCCGATCGACCGTGGTCTTCTTATTACGCTATCCAAATCGTAGAGACACAATCCCTTACTCAAGATAGCCTCTCTAAATTGATTTCCATATACTATAATGCTACTAGAAGATGCTTGAACTAACCAACTATTCCATGCTACACTTTCCTAGGCTGCCAGGCGTTGAGGACTGGAGGACGCCAAATATCCAACTTATTCAGGCATAAGGTTAGCTCGTAAGTTGAGTGCCAGTTCCATTTAACCCAGAAGAATACGTGAAGAATGTGTTTAAATATTGAGCTGATCAAAATTTTATCCCATTTATCAAATTATATGATATAATTAAACCAGCTTTCCTGAAATTTTCTAAGGTGCGACATTTACCTACAATCATTTTATTGCCTGTTATGCCGATTATGGAGTCGAAATAAACTTATTATACTTGTATAAAGCCTTGTCCTGATGGAAAACTCCATAGCTGTGGTATTGGATACATTACATAAAAATACTGCCCGCAGTGATACGTGTTATATTAGCTAAACAAATTACGTCTCAAATCCAGGGGTCGGTCGCTTCGCTACCCGCGAGGGGAAATGTAAAGAAATGTGTTTAGTAAGGTAAAAAGTAGGTGTTTGTTCTGATTTTGTTGGAAGACTCTGGTCGTTGCGCCGGACGAATGGCGGCATTCGTCCGGCGCAGTGTCCCCGACCTTTTTAGTCCATTAAATAGTTTAAATACCAGGTTAGAAACTGATCACCCCCAATGGGAATCAATTTTTATTAA